TTAATCAATCAGTACTTTGAGGGCAAAAGTATTATCAAAAAAGCAGAGTTGATCAGTAAGTATAAAAACAAGGTATGGCGTGATGGGAATGATGACGATGCTATTAAATTCGCAATTCTGTATTTTATCAGTACGTTCATCTATTCCGGTGAGAAGAAGAGCTCATCAATTCCAAGGATACATTTTGATCTAGTTGAGAGCGGCCGGTACAATGAATACCCCTGGGGAAAAGATGTTTTCTCCAAATTGGTCAAAAGCATAACAAAAAAAATGGATGCCAAGAAAAAGTAATTATAGAATTGATGGTATGCCTCTTGCCATGCAAGTTTGGATATATGAATGTTGTTCTGCTGTTGATCTGAATATTGCTGAAAAGAAGACCAATCGTATTCCCAAACTGGTCAATTGGAGGACCAGAAACAGCAGAATACATTATGAATTCTTAATGGAAGGAATGTTCGGTGATAACAGCAATCCGGTAATTTAACATATTTTCATTATTCAATTAGTACAGATATCGTTGTCTATCAATATACTTGTTAATTATAATTGTTTTGTGCGCAGTTAAAATACAAAAACATTCAACCTTCACTAAAGGAGATTGCATTTTATCAGCTTCCATCAAAAAGTGATGCAATCCCCGAGAATACCTTTCAAAAAGTTGGCGACAAAGATGATGACGAAGATGATGATTTCACTTCAAAGCCTCCAAGTCATAAGCCACACAATAAAGAAAAAGGTAAACAGAAGGTAACTGTTTCATTGTCCACATCGATCAAAAAGTTCAATATGCATGCAGGTTCGAGTTGTAAGGAGAAAAGCCCACCAGTATTGCATGGTTACCGTAAGGCAAATAGTACACCCTTTAGTTTTGTTTCAACCCCCGTGGAGAATAATGTACCAGTACAAGAGTTGTATAATCAACCGGATGATTCTGCCAACACTACACCACAAGGGAGTTCGAACCAACCTCAAGATACCAAGGCAGGCGAAATTGGTGTGCTAAGACAAGATCTTGCCTCTTTCAAGGATTCTATAAGGAAGTTGTTACATTTTTTTTAGTTTACATTGTATTCCGATATATTCTTACACTTTATTTAATAATCAGGTTACTAATGAGTTCAAGGAGTTGCGCTTGTTTATACTGGAAAATTTTAAACAAGTCATGGATGCAGTCAACAAAAGCAATCCTCAATCTGGAGCACCATGTCAGGTTAAGCACAACAATGATAAATTACGAGAATACATTCACATATACAGGTTAACCAATGTTACAAAACTCAATTATTTTTGTATAACATAAACAGGAAGATGGAAGTAAATCTCCAACACATGTACCTGATTTGTCGAACAACAATTCAATGAAAGACGGCAACCAGATCTCAACATTCTTGGATAAACCTCACTTTGATATAAATGAGGTACTACGTGAATTAAATTGTGTTTCTAATTTAGAAGTGGATGGTGAAAAATGTTCAAGAATAGATACATCATCAAAAAATTTAAAGGTTCAAACATAATATTTATTATTGTAATATTCTGTTACATTTCTCAAACAAAAAATATTTATTATTGTAATATTGTTAGGATCAGACATTTCGATTCGTTCTTGAAGAACACGTCAAAGATAATGTCCAGGAGAATTATCAGCCTGCCCAGATACACATACAAGACCCTTTGTCGGTACATGAACAGTCTAACGGCAAACAGCCTGTTGGAATGCCATCATTTGAGGTACTGTTTAAATTTTATTGTATTTATAAGGGTGTTTAAAAAATGTATTCAATTATGTATTCAAAAATAAGTAAATACATTATATAAATTGAATACTTCTGGTTTATTCAATGAACTTATAAGTTGTATTTACTTATTTCTAGTTTTTGTAGAAATATTTATATACTAGGATATTTACTGATAATAGAATACATTCCAATACCAACAATACATATGATACTTTGTAAGTATACCTACTGGTAATATAATACATTATAATACTATAAATATGTATGTAACTTTTGGTAGAATTCTGATGGTAGGATAGTATCTCTACTGTAAGTATTAATTAGTGTAATATTAATTGTTCTACTCATATAAATTATTTATGCGCGACATTCTGAATAATATATGTTATTTTTGCCATTTCATTTCAGACAGGAGACATTAATGCCTTACAGAACGATGGAATCCAACAACCACAGTCACAATTTGAGTTGCTTGATGTTTTGTTACCTAGCCTTGACACAATCAATCCCAAAAAGTGTGTTGTGGTTCATCCAGAGGTTGTGGTTCATCCAGAGGGTGTTGTTTATGATACTACACCCGTGCCAGTTCAAAGGACAAGACGTCCCGATCGATGGAATTCTTCTTCATACTCGACAAATTTTGGATCATCATCTGGTAATTAATAATGTTTCTCCTCCTATTTTTTTTTAACATACATGATTTTTCATGCAAAATTGATGAGGAAATAAGTCGAGAATATGTTTTTTACAATTTGTGTGTCTGTATACATAAAATTTCAGGTAGCTCTTCCAATGTGGTAAAAATTTATGAAAAGAAACATCCTTTTGTTTCTGACTTCATACGAGGGCCATATAATTATGATCTTTTTGACGATTATGCAATGTGGCTTCGTGAAGGGCTCCTTGTTAGGCATATGAATAAGTAAGTATTTTTATTTCATATGATTGTCATCTGTACACATAATATACTTAAATTTTAATTCTATTTGTTATCTAAAGGATGCATGATGAAGATCGGTATAAGAATAAAAAAGCAGAATTGGCGGTTGATATGGATTTGGGTATTCATCTCATATCAAACAAGAATTGGTTCTACTCTCTGTCTTATGATAAACAACTTCTGAATGATGAGGTAAAAACATGAATATATATGTAAAAGGAGCCCTTTCTGTTTATAAGATGTGCACATATATTTATTGATAATTTTTTTGACAGCATATTGATGTGGTTCTATATTATTTGCGTAAAAAAAGTAAGTACAACATCAATAGTCGCTACAGATACACTACTGTTGACTGTCTGTTCAAGTCAAAAATTGATGAAATTTATACCACATATGCTAAAGTTGGAAGCGAAATATGTGTTGCAAATATTGAAAGCGACATACGTGATTACATAAATGGGTATAGGTTGATGGCTGCCATTCCATGGAATACAATCAATAATGTGTTCATACCAGTGAATGTGGAGAAGAAAAATCACTGGGTGTTGGTTGTTTTGTCAATAGTTGAACGACGCATTTATGTATATGACTCATACAGAGCAGTAGGTCATAACTCTTATGTTAGGGATGAAATTCAAAAGCTTGCTCAGCTTCTGCCAATGTATGTGTCAATGGAGATTGCCAATAATTCAGATGATACACAAGATCAGGACATTGCATACGATGTGACGTATGTGGAGGATATACCTCAACAGGGATCAGGTGACTTGTAAGTATAAAAAAATGTAAAAAAAATAGTCTCTTAATTTACTTTTTAAATAAACAATATCTTATTTAATAAGTAATGTATCTTTCAGGGATTGTGGGATATATTTGCTAGCATTTGCAGAGTACCTAAGTGAGGGTGAAGGTATTCCAGTTCAATACCTTGATTCTAAGTTACACCGCATCAGATACGGCGCACTATTGTGGCAATATGCAGCGAAGAAGATGGAAGAAGGGGCTGTTAGCGAGAATGAGGCACCACCCAGAATGATGAGGCCACCCGCAAGAATCGATAATAGTCAACTTGTTAGGATTGATTAGTATCTTGTACTAGTTATCTTTTTGAACTTCTATTTTATGCTTATGGTTAAAACTAATATTTTAGTTTTTTGTCAAACATTATCAACTCTAATATTTATATATGATCATGTTGATTTACTATTTTTGTTTGGGTTATTGCATTCAATGTAATGGTAGGAAGAAATCGATGTATGTTTGTATAAATGTCCAGTCTGCCTGAACACATACATTTGGATATATATCTTTGTTCAGTTTGTGTGTTTTTTTTTAATCAACATATTCAATAGTATAAATGTATACTAGGGTCTTTTCATATCAACATATACACAAGTATTACTATATTCATTTATTTTCAATTCTTACTTGAGGACATTTGGATACTTGCATTCTTAAAAGTGATAAACGTTCAGTAAATGTTTTATGTGTATTCACCAACATATTCTCAAGTATTATTACCAGTAGTTTGTGTCTATCAATAAATGTTAATAGTATCAACTTGATAGTTGGATATTTATCGATTGAGAATTTTGTATCATGTTTAATATTGAGATAATATTCAAGTTAATTTATAATTTAAGCAAGCAAATAAAGAAACAAATATTTCAAAAGGCAAATAAGTTATTTATTCGACAAAACAAAAATTAAGTAAAAGAACATTTCAATTGTGGGATGTATCAGTTCCTATGCATTCCGTGTTGCAGTTCGACATGAACGTCTATTATGACTACGCTGTCCACATGTACTACAAGAATTGGTACCCTTCCTTTTGCTAAACTCGCTAAATGACTTCTCCCGTTGCTTCTTTGGCCTTCCTGGAGGTCGCTTGTATTTTGGTGGCAACACAACTTCGGTATCAATGTGTTCAGGTATATTCCATTCACTTTTGTCAGGGAGAGGATACACAGGCACTTCATATGTTCTCAATATTGTTTCTGGCTTGTAAAAGTCTGAACAATATTCATCTGGAAGCATGTG